AATGGAAGTTGTCTCATTCACAACTGCAACACAGTACAGTAGAATGTCTCCTAACTGCAACACAGTACAGTAGAATGTCTCCTCTGATCCGCGGTGATATAGGCGACCAAAATCACGGATCCTATTATCTGTGAGGTTATCTGGGATTTTACTCATTTTATCCGCAAAGTAAAACATTCTGGGCTCGAAGGATGTAAACAACTTGGCCCCTGTAAAGCATCACTTCATTTTCCCAGACAAGTAAAAATAGGGCTTGGGATGCAAAAGGATGTGCCACATGACAGAAAATGTGGGCATGAAGATGACACTTGAATGATATATCGTATATATTTACCGTATTATTTCACCGACACACTGCCCAGCATCGTGACGCATGATCAAATAACCCTTACGGCCCGCATGGAGTCCAGAGGCCCTCATCCGGCAATGGACTGACACACGGTCTGTACATGCACTGTATTATTTTAACGTTCAAATACTGCACATAGGCGAGATAATTCTTAACGGGGGTTTCCACGAAGATTGCCAATGTCGGTTCCCACTGGATTCGAAGGATGTTAGGACTTTGCCGCCCTCCGCAAAGTGTCGTTTTATTTTCTGAGCAGTTTCACATTTCACGGAAACCCCCTGAGCAAAAATCAATAAGTTTCAGTGGCTCATGCGTCTCTATTATTGCGCAATAACAAGGTTGGCAAGCCAGCACAGGCATATTCTTCCTTCATGTGTTCACACCTAGCCTTTGACCCAATCACCCGAATGCTGCCGAGACGTGAGACCTTGAAGGCCAAGCTATAGGGTTGAGCCTGGCACGTTTGCCCACGAGACAACTTTGATAACTGGCTGTGTTGGGTGGTGGAAGGGTGTACAACACAAATTTGACTCAAACGATCCGAACCAAAAATCGATAAATGCTAAAATAGGCATAACATGCCGACTAAAACATAATATAAGGATATTCCTTTTTGTGCTGGTTTGTTATCACCAGGTTTTGGGTAACCCTTTAATCAACAATGTGACGCTACAGCAGGCCACAAAATCCACAACCAATAAAATCCGCAAGTGTTTGTAAATCCATGGCTCCTCCAGAAATCCTCGGGACTGTTGAGCCTGAAACCCACAAAACATTGCAGATTTCTAGCTCTCCTCCGTTAATGGCCGATTCAACCTCCTGCAATTCACACCACGTGAGCAGTGGGGTGATGGCCACCTCTGTTAGTGACCGCCAGCCGGCTGCGCAATTTCACATTGTGACAACTGGAATCGGTATTTTCCATTGACAACCACTGTTGACTTTCCCCACTTTAACTATCCCGAAGTGATCATGCCAACCCCTTACCAGAATCTGAGCTCGGAAGTTGTGAGTGAAGTGTTTCGATCACAGTGCCATCCTGGCTGGATTATAGCCAAAAATCAGTAACAATAACATATGTTCCAACAATAGTTTGCAAACATCCATGAGAAAAGCCAGAGAATGTAAAACAGTTACCAGTGTCTGTTTATGCTACTGGAAATAAAACAGGGACGTGTTATTCATCCTGAAATATAATTTAGAAGAAATGCCATGACTAAGCACCACAGGATATTCCAAATCAGAATGGACGAGTGTCGTTTTCCTTTCTGGAAACAACCCAGTGCCTGACGAGAAATTCAACCACATTGGAACTCTGTTCCAAAATGTGTGCATCAATCTTACTCGTGTTTACCGTTCAGGAGCTAACTACCAACAGTACAAACACCGTGTTTATTTAAAGCAAAGTCACAAAATACAGAAAATCTAGGCCGATTGATTCATCAATAACAAATTATCATGTTTCATTAATTGTTTCTTAAGGTAATATAACAATGCAAATGCAAATTATCTAATTTATAACATCTGGAGTACAGAACTCCCCTTACCCACAGTGAAATAGGGAGGCCCAATATTGAATCCTTTTATAAACTATAAACTTTTTTTATTTTACCAGGTAAGGCACACAGAGCTATATAGCTCTTTTTCATATGCGAACTGGATTATAATGTGAAAATGTATTGCAGGCAAATATTCTAAATGAATATCTAAATGAGGAGCGAAAAAACACGATTACCCGGAAAAAAAATCCACGCAACCACGGGGAGAACATGCAAACTCCAAACATACAGGCACCAGGGTCGGGATCGAACCCACGTGCTCCTGTATACCAGGCGAGGCAGATAACATCTCGCCAAATGGGCCAGACACTTCATAACGGGGCTTCCACGAAGTTTGCCGATGTAAGTTTCCACTGGATTCGAAGGATGTAAGATTTTGCCTCTGCAAAGCGTCACTTTGTTTTACGAGCAGTTTGCATTTCACGGAAACCCCCGACGAGCACAAATCAGGAAGTGTGCAGTGGCTTACGCGTCTCTATTATTGTGCAAAGACAAGACTGGCAAGCCAACAAAGGCATTATTTGCATTCATGCTCCACACCTAGTCATTGACCAAAACACCTGAAATGCTCCAGAACCTGTGAGTCTATGGAAACGAAGCAGCTTTGAGCCTGTGTGTATATTAAACTTATTTCGCAGCATACTTTCCACAAACATGCTAATTGGAGGTGTAGGGGAAGGGCAAACTGAACACATAAGGCAGTTAAAAAAAAAATCCGTTTTCAATTTAGACAATAAGTGTTTAAATGGGTCACCAGAATGCTCAACAGCAATAAAACAGATGTTATCAGCATTGTGGGCTATTGAGGGGAGTGCAGCAAAATCAGTTGTCCTGTATTCCCCATCATGAACCCTGACCAGAGTAGAGAGGGTATGGTGAACCCTCACGACCTGTACGGCGTTGTTAGGCTTTAACTGCTCCTACAACTTGAAAAGGTAAATTCATTTAATGTATTGATAAGTGGTGATCCAAATAGCATTCTATGTAAATATTCTCCCGTGCATAACACTGCTGTGTTGCTTACATTTGCAATGAGAATGGCGAGATGGATTTCAGCGATCCCAAAGAATGGACCAGGTCAGATATAAGGCAAGAATGGTACCAATCTCAAGACAAGTTGAAAGTCGACACAGATGCCTGGGACATGCGATAAGTAGCGAGGAAAACCACGTCAGAAAAAGAAATGTATGAAACATGGAAGCAGCAGGGTGGAGAGTCACGCCTTTGATGTACTATTAGGGGCTATTGCCCAAAATGTCACCTATTGTGTTTTTTTCCTTTTCGGGAAGTTTTATTAACTCGTTGTTCGTGTTGTTTGTGCACTAGTGACAACACAGAATCACCAGGTGGTGAGCCTTGATTTAAAGGTACATGGAGAGGAAGGGTCAAGTGGGGAAAATTCCAGGAATAGTATTACATTTGAACGCCGAACTGTACTTGAAAACACGGATGGGTGGTGCATTTTAAGGTAAGATATATGCATTAAATAAGTAATATTTAAAAAAAACCTTTTTTTTTTAAACACGCTTTAATGCAAAACTCCACGACTCCAGGAAGTTGCCCCGAAGCGTGCCACAACGTAAGGGGACCGTGGTCATTTACAGCCAACGTGAGTTGAGCGTGGACAATTAGACCCAAGCCGAAACACATGATGTACAAAAGATTGCTTTAACATTTTAATTTTTAATGATAGAATATAGTATTGTCATCAGTATTACATACGTATACCAAGTTTGCAGTCGATATAACATTGGGAAGTGGGTTAAAATTGAGTTATAAGATTTGAGGATACGACAGAGTTGAGGATACAAGAGAGAGTGAGCTAAATAAAAGTGTAATAAAAAACTACACTTCCGGTGGTATAGTTTGTCATATATGTGAGATCGCAACCTCGCACATTTCAAATATTTAGCAGCCAGTTCATCAGAAGGCAGCCCCTGAGCCAATGGTGGAAATTCCACATTCTTAAGGTGGAAATTCCACGTTCTTACGGCGGTTGGTGAGGGAGGCTTATACAGTTGTTATTGGACATATAGTGTAGAGCATCTAGTAACGTTTTACAAGTCACCATCAGCCTTGAACAATCCACTGCTGGATGAAGGCATCCGCTGGTCACCACCACCTATCACAGTTCTGCACCTGCATCGCGTATAGATTACATCGCTCCATCTCCTCGGTGGCCGTGAATTTCAGACGCGTTCCATTTTGTGGCCACCACTCCGGGCCATTATTCTTTCACCATTAAGTTATCACCCACCGCCGCACCAACGTACTCGGTTTGTATAACACAGTTCCAACGTTTTAAAGCTTTCGTGACTGCAGGGATTCACATTCTTGGTTCTTTCGGTAAAGTCACCACGTAGAAGGGAAATAATACAATAATAAAAAAATAAAACAATAAAATTCTCACGACGTTTCGATTGCAACACAAGCAATCATCAGGTGTGAAGACCACATCAAAAAAATTATTGCTGCCGTTTTCACACCTGATGATGGTTGCTTGTGTTGTGTATTATTTCCCTTCTACGTGACTTTACCGAAAGAACCAAGAATACAGTTCCAACGATCCGTTTGCATGAATAATATTTCACCTGCGTGTAACGCCCTCCAATCCGCCTTGATTAACTTCCTCCTTCGGTCTCTCTCGATGTAATTCCCAAGCAAATGGCTCGGAACTGATGGGAGTCGTGGGGGTCTAACTGGTCACAAGGTTCGATCTGCCGATACGATCGATCGTTTTTATTTTATCCCACCCAGGCCTTCCGTCGTCTCCAAGGGGGTTATATAGTTGGTTCGGCGGGGCACCGCGTGAGTGGGGTTAAGTGTTGGTAGTAACACTTACCCTCTCTCCCCCAATACGTCTGGCAAAATTTTGGAAGAGTAGGCCAAAAAAATAAGTGTCTCTTCTAGAGCTCCCTGGAGTTGAGAGAGGGCCCCCCTCCCCCCCTTCCGGAAGCAAGCAAGCGACCAAAGGAATTGCAGGGGCCGCGCCTTTAACTTTTTGTCGTCGTTCTAACTTAGGATTTAACAACAAAAAAACCTCCACACGTACAGCGATACAGAAGAGAGATGGACACAGCGCAGCCACTCACGTTGAAAGTGCTTTCCTTCAGGTCGTCCGCGATGTCCGCGTGACTTTGGCCGGACAAATCGAAAGCACTGCCGCTGCTGTTCGTGCCGTCACCATTGCCGGGAGAATTCCTCGCGAGCCGCCGACGATCCGCGGAGAACGTCCACCTCGCCGGCGAGTTTGAGTTCTTGGCCGTGGCCTCGACATCCCTGAGGAGCGCGGTGGCCACGGAGACGAGAAGGGTGGTAAGGAAAAGGAGGAGAAAGGCGAGGAGGCTGCGAATTGCAGCCATCGCCACCGTCTGATCAGCTGTTAATGAGCTTTCCTGCTCTAGGAGGGAAGATGTTTCTTCATCTTCTGGAAGATGATTCTGCTTCTTCTTCTGGAAGATGAATATTCTTCCTCTTCTGGAAGATGCTTCTTCCTCAGGAAAGACACCGCTCTCTTCTGGAAGATGCTCCCAGTCAAGAAGGAGCTTTCCATATTCTTGGTTCTTTCGGTAAAGTCACGTGGGAAGTGAAACAATAAAATAATAAAAATATAAAATTCTCACGACGTTTCGACTGCAACACAAACAATCATCATCAGGTGTGAAAACCACAGCAAGACAAATTATTGTTTTATATTTTTATTATTTTATTGTTTCCCTTCTACGTGGTGACTTTACCGAAAGAACCAAGAATATGAATCCCCTGCAGTCACGAAAGCTTTAAATCAAAATTTAAGGAGCTTTCTCTTTTGGCATTGGTGACCTTCTTCTGGAAGATGCTTCCCCTTCTGGAACACGTCTTTTGGACTTTTTATTTCGGCAGATATTCCCTCTTCTGGAAGATGTTTCTCTCTTCCGGAAGGTTTATACTTCTTTTTAGAAGGCGGCTATTCTACTTCTGGAAGATACTTAAACGTCTGCAAGATAGCTACGCTGCTGGAAGAGATGTCTCCTGGCATGACGATTTATAGTACTGTGCGATATTTGTCCAGCAAAAACAACCCCTTTACCTCCTCGTTGGTGCCGGAGGGCAACGCTGTGGTGGGCACTGCCGTGGGGGGAGGGCCCATTGAGCGGCCAAATGGGGGCTCTGGACATGTGCGAGGGGCTGGTAACCCCTCCACCTTCAATTAATTACCAGCAAACCACAACTGAAAATTTAAATTAATAAGCTTGTGCCGGAGGTCCCGGGGGGACAGGCGTCTATGATGTCTCCTGGCCAAACACCCATTTGGCAGAGCCAGGAGACTGAATCCTTACCCCCGGGGCTCCTCCAGAAACAGCAAAAAATCATTATGGGTGGCCACATGGAATGTTCGAACGCTCACTGCGGAGGAGAGGCTGCCACTCCTCTGTCGGGAGCCGGACCGGTACCGCCTGGATCTTTGTGGTATTCAGGAGGTCTGGTGGACCGGCTCTGGATCCTGCCATCATTAGGGGTGGACAATCCTCTACTCGGGGCAGGAGACTGCCAAACAACAGGGAGTGGCTCTTCTGAACAAAATAATGAAGGGGGTGTGGGAGCGTGGCGGTGAGGTGTGGAAAGCTGTAAGCCCCAGGCTACTTTGGGCTCGCCTTCCCATCAAGCAGGGGCGATGAGTGGTGGTCGTGGTAACTTATGCCCCCACCGAAGACGAACATCTGTGAAGGGATGCAGGCAAGGCTGATGAGTCAGATGCCTTCTATGACCTCCTGTCACAGGTGCTAGCCAAAGTGGCCCCTCGGGATAGAGTCATCTTGTTGGGTGACTTCAATGTACCAGTTGGTCATGATACTGCCACCTGGTCTGGAGTGATTGGAAGGCATGGGCCAGATCAGCTCAATAACAACGGCAGGAGGCTGCTAGACTTTTGCGCAGCCCATGGGCTTGTAATTACCAACACGCTGTTCTTGCATCGGTGCATCTACACAACATCATGTATGCATGTCGAGTATAAGCAAGAACATCTGCTGGACTCCATAGTGACGGAACAGTGGATGCGGGCCCATGTCCTTGACACCAGGACCTACCGCGGAGCTGATCTGCTCACTGACCATCGACTTGTCATCTGTAAGATGTGCCTGCCATTCTTCCACTCCGGTGGTGGGTGTACACCCAGGACCCCATTCAAACCCATAGCGGCATAGTCTCAGCTAGCTGATGTAAGTTGCAAGCGAAAATGTCATCATCGCTTGCGGCTGAGGTTGGCATCGTCCCCCACTCCTCCAGATGTAATGGGGAAATGGGTGAGATTTAGGACTGTGGCTCATGCAGCTGCAATGGCTGCTTTGGGCACACGGTCCAGACCTCCCCAGATACCCTGGCTGACAGAGGAGGTGTTCAGGCTGGCTGAGAAAAAGCGACAGGCCTACTCTCATCGGCTACAGCATCCCACATCGGAGAATGAGGAGGCTTACCGCAGCCTTCGATCGGAGGTTCGGAAAGCCGTGAGGCACTGCAAGGATGGGTGGTGGTCGCGGGTTGCTGCGGAGATGGAGTCTGCCTCAATGGCCTGCGATCACAAATCGCTCTTTAACTCCATCAAAAAAGTAACCTGCAGCGCCATACCGCTTACCATCATTAGGGGAAAAAACAGTGATCCAATCTCTGACCCCCAGGAACAGGTTTGCAGATTTGCTGAGCATTTCTGTGAAGTCCTGGGGGAGGGGAAATCCCTCAGCCTGGAAAACAACGTGGGACAAAGTGGGGATGACCCTGCTGAGGCTGTAGTGCCTCAAATATTGGAAGAAGTTTCCAGTTTATTTATTTTGGTATAGCCCTGTGAGCCATTCGGCTCTTGAATCGGGTGCAACCACAACAAACAACAAAACAAAAACACGAGCAAGAAAACATCTTAAAGTGACTATTTAACTGCAAACAGAAAATCCATGAAAAAAAACAGCAAAATATTCCTGAAAAAAACACCGTACACCAACGCTGTGTGCAAAAAAATCCCAGTGGGATGCAAGTCAAACAACAACAACCACAAGAAAACTTAGATTAAGGCCATCAGTCTAACTCCGTACTACAACAAAACAAACATGTCCAAACCAAAAAACGTTTTCGAAATCACCAAAAAATAAAGCCATAATTGCAACGTAACAGTCACACCCTGTAAGTGGCTGGCTGAGGTGCCATCTGTTGAGGAAGTACTGAAGGCGATCCGGAGTTTGAGACCAGGAAAGGCACCGGGCAGAGATGATCTCCCAAGTAAAATGCTGAGGAGGGGGGTGTTTGTGCACAGACTGCCCTACATGACATCATAACAACAGTCTGGACCACTGGACAGGTTCCGCAGGATTGGAAGGATGCCCTGATGGTCCCTCTCTTTAAGAAGGGGAACCGCACAGACTGTAAAAACTACAGGGCATCTCACTCCTCAGTGTGCCGGGAAAGGTCCTGGCAAGGATTATTCAACATCGCCTTGCTAGGCACGCTGAGGAGAGGCTTGCAGAGCCCCAATGCGGTTTCAGGAAAGGGCGGTCCTGCACAGATGCCATATTTTCTGTCCGACTGCTACAGCAGAGGTGTAGGGAATTCCAACAAGACCTACATCTCTGCTTTATTGAAATGGCCAATGCCTATGGTACTATCAGTAGGCATGGGCTCTGGGTTGTTCTTTGTGCTTTCAGAGTCCCTGACCCTCTGCTCACGACCATTAAGGACCTTCATGATGGTGAGCGGGCCCGGGTAACACTAGGTGGCCGAGAATCGGAGTCATTTTCTGTACACCTTGGGGTGCGACAGGGATGTCCTCTGGCTCCCACATTATTTCACATCTATTTAGACCACGTAGTTCGTGAAGCCTTCAATAGCTGTACCGGAGGAATTTCCATCTGGTAGAGATACAATGGGAGGCTGATCGATGCCCGGGTGCGGTCAAGGGATGGCTCCCTATTCCTCAGCCATGTTATGTATGCCGATGATTTGGTAATTGCTGCTCACTCAGAGGAGGAGTTGGAGGCGCTGCTGCTCAACCTGGAGCTTGCCACTTAGAGGTGGGGCCTTACCATCAGCCCCACCAAAACTAAGCACCTGCCTGGGTATTTTGTACCATCGGATACTCCATCCCCACAACTCCCAATTGGTGATGGGGCAGTTGTGGAGAGAGTGGAGAGTTTCCCATACCTGGGCAGTGTGCTCATGACTGGCTCCGGTTTGACAGCAGAGGCCTCACTCAGAATCAGTTTATCAGCATTATCTTTTTATCGGTTGCATAATGCTATGTGGAAGCTACCTGGTCTGTCGCTCCTTACGAAGCGTCATGTCTTCTCGGCCACAGTAATTCCCTCGCTTCTCTACACTTGCGAAACGTGGACCCCCCTAATGGAACATCTTCGCCGGTTAGAAACATTTAGGTTGGCCTGCCTATGAACCATCCTGGGTTTAACCTGGCTGGATTGTGTGAGGAGCTTACAAATCCTTGAAAGATCTGGACAAAGTCCCAACAGTGAGCTCCTCCGACAGGCAAGGCTGCGTTGGCTGGGCCATGTAGCCCGCATGCCCACCCAAACAAAAGCTGACCAAACAGCTTTTGTTTGGCCGGATCGAGGGGGCTAGACGGGCACGGCATGGGCTAGAGAAGAGATGGAGTGATCTGGTACAGGAGGATGTGGAGCTGAGTGGACTTGCCGATGACTGGTACCAGCGGTGTCAAGATCGGCCTCTGTGGAGGAGGCTCGTGAAGGATGCTACTGGGCAGTTGGAGGCAGTCGCCTTCCAACAACAATGGAGGGCGGAGGAGCGACGCTCACAACAATGAGCGGAGCGCCGGGTGGCTTAAGCACAACAAGTTGGCACAGTAGGGGGCACAGGTGGTGCATCAGCCAATCATCTCAGTCAGTCGACCCGTGGCACCTGGGTCTGTCCTGTGACCTCGTGCCAGCGGGCGTTCGACACTTTACATGGCCTCAACGTGCACATAGTCTGGCACAAGTGTCGTGGTGACGTCACTGCCACTTTGTGGCGATTGGTGGCTGTTGTTGCAATATTTGGCTGCCATAGATTTCCACGTGATAATACGCCACTTTGTTGAGCTATTTGTGTTCAGATCGCGTCTGAAAGTGAAGCTAAAAGCTCAGTGGGCATTACCTGGTAAAATACGAACTTTAAATAATGTTTTAAAGTACAATTTGTTTGTGATTTGCTTACATTTCCTGTACTTTGTGCTCCTATCATGTTTTTTTATGAATTGTTGTAACTTTCTGACCAGCCTCTGCTACTGGACATTGGTGAAAAAGAGCTTTATAGCTCATCGGATTCCTCCAGTATTAATACAGATTCTGATATCACTATGTAACACAATTTATGTTCCTGGGTAGTAAGTGTTATTTCGTAATTGCTTATGCCTAAAAAGTTTAGAAAATGGCTATTATCACCCACAAACTTGG